CACAACTAGGCTGGACCACTGAACTTACCTGGCAGGAATCCAGCTGACACTTACAGGAGCTGGGACTGCTAGATGCCTGGAGGAGCCTGGCTATACCCTCTGTGAGCACATGCTAGGGTTGGGAGTAGGAGTTGATTATGTGTATGAGACAACATGATTTCTCTAGTCCAGAGGAGTATATGCCAGAAAAATTATGGCTGTGTCTACCACCATTAAGCACCCGGGCACCCACTCTTTCTTCTTAACAAATGTGAATACCAAATTCTTGCAGGTCTTTTGGTTTTCAACACAGCCTGGGACCTGTTATGCTCTGTGTGTGACAGTTCCTCTTCATTGGTTTTCTGTACATTTTATCTTTGTTTCTATTTTTCTTGGTTTGTTTGTTGTGGGAGATCCTTGTCAAGAAAATGAGATCTTTATGGGAAAGGTTTTGTGAAAATAGCAGAAGCATGATCATGCAAATGATCAGAACCAGATGAGTTAATCATGAACTTGAGCTTTAGAGTTGGAAAGTTTAAAAGAGGAAATTGTTGCCAGCCATATCTGTATGTACTGGCTACATGCCGTACCCAAAATGGCGCCAGCCAGAGAAGCCACATCTTGGTGTTTGGTGCAGAGTCACGTAGCCTTCGCAGTACTGCGCAGGCGCCTAGCGCATGCGCAGTGAGCTGCGGCGCGGCAGGCACGTAAACACTGGGACTGACGAATCCAGTCGCCCAGAACCCTGCATAATCATGACGCCGACCTATCATCGGCGGAGGCGGGGCCAGACAGCACATAAGAGTAGAAAGCCTGCCGGGATCCGAGCCTCTTTCCTCTTCATGTTGGTGTGCACAATAAATTTTACCGCAGAAGGCTTCGCTCGCGTCTGCGTCTTATTGCTGGGCGGTAAGATACGTGGGCGCGACAACTGGTGCCGGGAACCCGGGACTTGGAGGGGGCCTCCCGTTTTGAACGGGACGAAGTCAGAACTGCGGCCAAAAGACAGGTAAGGAGCTCTGAGAGGGAGAACTTTCGGGTGACTAGGAGCATAAATCGGAGGTATATGAGCCGCCGCTTCTGGTTATAGACATGGGCGCACAGGTCTCTCTGGTGAAATTTTTGCAGATGGTTTATGCCCCCCGTAAGGGAGCGGTCAGAGAGAGTGACAAAGCCCTTCAGTCTGCCCAGGATAGTCTCTCAGAAACAGAGCGGGAGAGGAGAACCGGTTTGAAGCAAAAAATAAAGGTGAAACTTAAAGCAGTATCTTCCTCATCAAGTTCGGAGACTTCCGACGCTGAGGAAGGGTACAAGTGGGATAGGCACTTAGAACGTAAACCTGCAGGAAACAGACAAGGATTAGAAAAGGAGAAGAAAGATAATGGCGGTGCTACTGCGCCGGCCACGCGTGGCCCATGGCCTCAGGACTCTGGAGCCATTTCATCAATGGCTCCTCCTCCTGTGACGCCATCTGCCCCGCCCATGAGTTATGGTGCCGGCTCTTCCTTCATCGATGCAGCCGCGCGCCGGGAACTTCAAAATATGTTCCCCGTCTTAGAAGAAGAAAGGGAAAGAGTTTACAGACAGGTAGATGCATCATTAGTGCGAGAATTGGCCATGTCTGTAAAGCAATATGGTCTTCACGCCAATTATACTTTGTCCCTGTTAGAACGTATGGGGGGAATGAATATGACTCCCTCTGATTGGCAATTTGTGGTGAAGGCTGTTCTCCCTAATATGGGATCATATCTAAATTGGAAGGGCCTATGGCAAGAGCTTTTGGCTGAGACTGCCCGGGCAAATCAACAGCGCGGCGGTGAAGCTTTGTCATGGACTTATAATATGCTTTCCGGACAAGGCCAATACTCTGATAATCAAAATAGATATCCATGGCCAGTGTATACCCAGATCTCTGCTGCAGCTATAAAGGCATGGAAGGCCCTTTCACTTAAAGGGCAAGAGAAACTGGGCATTACACAGGTTAAGCAGGAGCCAGATGAGCCCTTTGCTGATTTTGTGGCACGTGTAATGCAGAAAATGAGTGTCAAATTAGTGACTGGCATCCCTTATAATCCACAAGGTCAGGGGATAATCGAACGTGCTCATCGCTCTATTAAGGAATTGTTGCAAAAGCAAAAAACCACCTGGGAATCACTTGGCCTCGCCAGTCAGAGCCCTCGGGCCACTCTAGCCCTGGCTCTCTTCACCATCAATTTTTTACAGCTGGATGAGAAAGGCCTCAGTGCTGCAGATCGTCATTCCCTCAAGACGGCGCAAGAGCAATCTTGGGTCAAGTGGAAGGATGTTCTGGAGTCCAAATGGAAGGGCCCAGACCCAGTTATTAGGCAGGCTCGAGGAGCCATTTGTGTGTTTCCACAGGACGCCCCAGTTCCGGTTTGGGTTCCAGCTCGATTGACTCGTTCCTGTCCATCACCGCCTTCTGACGTTTCTGCAACTGCTGGAGCGCTTGCACAAGGATCTGACTTGGGGAAGATTCATGCAGACCCGCAATCAGAAACTCCTCCTACAATCCCACAGGACAATGGTGCCCCGCCCAGTGCAAACACGGCTGATGGTGCAACTAATGGTCTGTATGGCGCTTGTGAGGACCGTGATTGCTGAGCCACGATGAGGAGTTTTGAGTGTTTTTCCACAACCCTTACCGGTCGCCCACTCAGCCCGAGTGTTTCCTTGATTTTTCCTTCTTTGGATTTGCCTTTTCTCCCTTATGATGATATTAAGGAGAATGTGAGTAATTTTTTATTCCCCCTACAGGACGCACTTTGTTTTCAAGCGTCTCCTGAGAATTTTAGTGTCAAGGTTTATGTGTTACTTCTATTCCTTTTCAAAATGTTTCAACGGCTGCTAATCTTTCTTGCCAGCTTTCTTCCTATCTTTTAGGAAATTGGACGAGAGAATTTGATATTTTGCAGTCGGAGTTGAGAATTGCCATTGTCCAGATTAATTCTACACGGGTGGAGCCTGTTGTTGCTGAAACCCTGGCTACTTGGATTTGGAACATCACTTCCCATATTAAGGAATGGGTGGGAGTGGTTGTGCTGATTCTGCTCTTGTGTGCAGGCTGTGCCTTATGCCTTTTTTGCCTGTGTCGTCTGAGACACCGCGCTCAGCGAGATTGTGTGGCAATACATCAAGCCCTACTAGCCATGCAGTATGGTGACTCCCCCATGGTATGGTTGAGCATGCTTCAACAGGCTTAGTTAAGAGCATGGACATCATGGCTCCTGCACCTCAGGTCATTATGGCATTGCACTGAGTTCGAGCATGATGCATAATGCACCTGACTAGCCCTTGCACCTCGCAGGACTTATCCATTGCACGCGAGAGGGTAGTCAATCTTATAACTAACTTGTCGAGACATTGCTCTTTACAACCACCACGGTTGTAGCCCATGACGGGTAAGAGAGACCCAGACAATTATCGGTCTAAGACAGGGACTACGTCAAGCCACGCAGCCTCCCTATGACGGATCGTGCGCCTTGAGTCTACAACCTAAGACAGGCCCATACCAGCTTATTTTTCTATTGTATAAGAAAGAGGGAGATGTTGCCAGCCATATCTGTATGTACTGGCTACATGCCGTACCCAAAATGGCGCCGGCCAGAGAAGCCACATCTTGGTGTTTGGTGCAGAGCCACGTAGCCTTCGCAGTACTGCGCAGGCGCCTAGCGCATGCGCAGTGAGCTGCGGCGCGGCAGGCACGTAAACACTGGGACTGACGAATCCAGTCGCCCAGAACCCTGCATAATCATGACGCCGACCTATCATCGGCGGAGGCGGGGCCAGACAGCACATAAGAGTAGAAAGCCTGCCGGGATCCGAGCCTCTTTCCTCTTCATGTTGGTGTGCACAATAAATTTTACCGCAGAAGGCTTCGCTCGCGTCTGCGTCTTATTGCTGGGCGGTAAGATACGTGGGCGCGACAGGAAATTGACCTGAGATGATCATGCCTTGGGTGCAATAATAAAGAAAGTGAGGTAGGCCCAGAGGAAAGGCAGTCCTCAGCTGCTATGTATTCAGAGCAGTGATGCTCTTTGCTACGATTTCAAGGACGGTCACTGAAATGCTAACTTACTCCCAGAAAGGGTCACGTGGGACTTTCCTGTCAGCTATAAGTATTTAGACTATATCACAACATGACATGTGGGTTGATGTATTGTCATGACCAGAGTTAAATCCTAAACTCCGTGTGTGTGTGTGTGTGTGTGTGTGTGGTCTATTGCTATGTGTGTGTTAACTAGTTAGATTCACTAACTTATGAAAATGCATGGAACAGTTAATGAAATGGAAGCATTAGTGATCCTCATAAGTACCAATGGAATTTAGGAATACTACGAATTGGCTGCCCTCATCTTGGAAGTCTTGGAGCCTCTCCATCAGCCCAGTGATGGCCCCTTTGCTGAGTTCTGGATTCCCAGGCTGGGGCCTGTGAAGTAGTAGGGATTCAGACTCACAGCAACAAGATGCAATGAAAGTGTGTTTGGCCAGTATAAATTATATCCGGTGATACTTCTGTGAGTCTTCATCATCAACACAGGAGTACCTCAAAAATTATCACATTGTCAAATGAATTCTTGTTTTGCTTTCTGAATTTTCAAATAACATAGTTCTAGGTTTTCTGACATATATTCCACTAGAATAGAGAATCCATGTGTGTTATGACTTATACACATGGTGTGCCCTCTGTCCTACCCTTTCCTGTGTTGACAGGTGCTTCAGCCTGTCCTCATCCAGGCATCTACCAGTCCCAGCTTCTTCAAGTGTCAGGTGAATTGCTGCCAAGTCAATTCAGTGATGCAGCCTAGCTGGGCCCATCACTACCCATGCTTTCTGTGTAAACCTGTATGTTCTGAAGTCCCACAGAGGTGAGCCCACAATTTCCATAGAGAATGTGCGCTCGGAAACAGTTCTCTCACATCTTTGCAGTTGTTGTAGTGCTTAGCTTATCCAAGCCAGGGGCCAGAAATTTCCCTCTGGGTCTCCCTCACAGGTGCAGGGGCTCAATTCTCAAGCTTGAAGAAGAAAGTGGAATAAAACTAGGGCCACAAGGATACAACTCAATATCCATAGGGGAAGCGAGTGTGGTTGGCAGAGGTTTAGCTGGCAAGGCTACTGGAGCAACCCTCAGTTATTATTCATTCACTTTATTCACACAGGATTCCCATAGAATTTCCCTTCCTCCCTACTTCCTCTTCATCTGACATCCAGGCTTCCTCCTCTTCCTTATTAAGCCTTTTAAATTATCAACAGAAATGAGGTAGATGATTGTGCCAGACATTCATTTTTGACAGAGGCTGCCTCCGTGTGGTGAGCACACACAGGTGATTCTTAGGACAGACCCAGGGACTTAGGGAGCAGGGCAGGGTCTGCTCTCTCAAGGTCTCCATCTCAGCAGAGTCTGTGGACAGACGGAGAAACCTCTGGTTCCATCACTTGGATGAATTTCCACAGAAGCACAGTTTGTATTGTGGACAGGGTTTCAGCGGGGTCAATGAGAAATCTTGCAGGAGGTATAAAACAGTTTCTGTAATTGCAAGAACCCAGTGTGGTCAGGAGAGCTACAGGCAGTGTCCTTGAGACTCTTTCCCAACTCTGCTTCCGGAAGTTTGCAGGTCCCATAAGGTTTAGTGGTCCTGCCTTTTTCATTTAGTGATGAATTTATCCTTAGTTGTTGGCTGGTGTGTCTTTCTGGGATGATCCTAGTTCTGCAAATTCCCTGACCTTACTGTTTCTCCAGAGTCAGCTCCTGCTGCACAGTGAGATTCCAGGCAGAATCCTCCTGCAGGGCGAGTCCGGCTCCTCCCAGTCCCAGGGATGGGTGGATAGGATTGGGATGGAGCTGGGAGGTCTGAGAACCACGCCCTGGACCCGCCCTCAGCTCTGCATCCATCTCCTCCTCCCTTGGGCTGCTGCAGGCGCCTGTGGGATAGCTACAGAAGCAGTCCTATGCCGCTAGGAGACCTATTTGAAGGAAACTACAAACTATTCAAAAAAGAAATTTGAACAAGACCTCAAAAGATGGAATAACATCCCATGCTCCTGGATAAGAAAATCAATATCATTAAAATGTGTATACTACCACAAGCAATATACATTTTCAACGCAATTCCAATCAAATTGCCCAAAACATTCTTCACGGAACTGGACACAATGATTCAAAAGTTCATCTGGAAGCACAAAACACCACAAATAGCTAGAACCATCATAAAGAACATGAAGTTAGCAGGGAGAATCACAGTTCTGGACCTCTGGACATACTATAGTGCCGTGGTTATCAAAACTGCCTGGTACTAGCACAAAGATAGAGAGGAAGATCAATGGAACAGAACAGAAACACCAAAAGGGAACCCACACAGATACAGCCAATTAATCTTTGAGAAAAAGGCCAACGGACAGTCCAAGCAAATGGGAAGGCCTCTTCAGTAAATGTTGTTGGTACAACTGGCTGATAGCCTGCAGAAACAAAAAGATAGAAACGCATCTATCACCATACACTAAGATCCAATCTACATGGATAAAAGACCTAAACCTATATCCAGAAACCTTCAAACTCTTAGAAGAAAATGTAGGAAATACCCTGCAAGACCTAGGAGTAGGTCCTGACATTCTAAGAAGGACACCAAAAGCAATAGCAGTTAAGAACAGAATAAACAAATGAGAACTCATCAAACTAAGAAGCTTCTGTACAGCAAGGGAAACAATCAGCAAAGTAAAAAAGCAGCCCACAGAATGGGAGAAGATCTTCACGCACTATGTAGGGGATAGAGGGCTAATCTCCAGAATATACAAAGAACTTCAAAACAACCAAAAGACCAAAACAAACAAGCCACTCAAGAAATGGGCACAGGAAATGGGCAAACATTTCACAAAGGAACAAGCCCAAATGGCAAACAAACATATGAAAAAATGCTCCAGTTCCCTGGCCATAAGGGAAATACAAATTAAGATATTGATGAGGTACCACCTAACACCAGTAAGATTGGCCCACATAAAAAAGAACACCAACGACATTTGTTGGCGAGGATGTGGGGAAAAGGGAACCCTACTCCACTGCTGGTGGGGCTGCAGGTTGGTACGGCCTTTATGGAAATCAGTATGGAGAACACATAAACAACTCAAAATCTGCTTACCATATGATCCAGCAATAGCACTCCTAGGAATATATCCAAAACACCTGTTTTACGACAAACCAACATGCATCCCTATGTTCATAGCAGCACAATCAATAATTGCAAAAACATGGATGCAGCCAAAATGCCCATCAGCAGAAGATTGGATAAGAAAGCTTTGGTTCATCTACTCCATGGAATACTACTCAGCTATTTTAAAAAATGCAGTTTATTATGGCTAAATGGGCCCAACTAGAAACTATAATGCTAAGGGAAATGAGCGAATCCCCAAAGGTAAGATACCACATGTTTGCCTTAATTTAACCTGTATATTTTTCTTTTTGAACCTGTCATTGATACTGTCTCAACGCATGTATTTTGAAAAATTGAACTTGCATTATTTTTAACATATTGTTTACTCAATACTATGTCAATCAATTCCATAACACTATATATTGTTTCTGATGTTTTGTTGGGGCTTTTAACTGACCGGGATTTTAATCTGTTAGCTCTGCCTTCAGACCAGAGAAGGTCTCCCCAAGAAGCCATTAAAGTTATCTGGACAATAAAATGCTAGACTCTATGCTGGGTATGTGCTTGCAATGAAGGAATCTCAACTGAACTTGAACTGTGGTTATGCAGCAAGGTGGAGGAATCCACCATGGAAGGAGGGTTGTGGGAGGAGCAGGGGAAATCCCAGTGTCTATAAAACTGTATCACATAATACAATTGTATTAACAATAAAATAAAAAAAAAACCAATGCAATCAAGATACAGAACTCTATTGTTTTCACAAGACTTTCTTATTCAACTGTTGTATGGCTCCATTCGTGTCCTTCCACGTCCACCTCTAAACCTGGCAGCTACCAGCATGCTCACCCTCTCTATAATTGCTGTCAAATTTCAAGAACACTATACTTATGCAATAAATACATATTCTTGAGATTTGTTTGAAAAAAAAAACCTACTACCTACAGGGCAATGTAAGTTTCATCATTAGTAATCTAATGGCTGTACTGTATTTCAAATTATTTTTTTACAGAGCAACTGATTATTTTGGTGATTAGATCATATTTTGGTGTGAGGGTTCTCCTTATTCTTGTATGGTATTAGCAGAATGCCTGATCTATATACAATATGTGCCCTAAGTAACAAAATTACTATGGAAAAAAAAAAAGCTACATCTAATGATTCAGGACAGGAATGTCCCTTGAGGAGGAAATTGTCCCAGCTGGTATCACTGCACTATCCACTGAAGCTAAGCAAAGAACATTTCAGATGGCCAAAACTGTTTGGGCATTGCCATCTGATACTTCAAATCTAGATGCACATATGAGCCAGTAATACAAAGATCATTTGTAGACATATTTATTAAAATATCAGTGTAGCAGCAGATTAAAAACATTGTGAAAGAACACACAATCCAATTAGCTATAACCTAGAAAATGTTTTCGTAGGCATAACTACCATTTCATATGTACACTACACAGAGTTAATGGTGTGTTTAATGATACGAGGATAAGGGCATCTGTCATCATCCAAGCTCTGTTCTTACCAGGTGGAGGAAGAGACCCACAGACACATGAGCAATGAGATGATATTCCTCTGCACATCTGCAGAGCCTGCTCCTCCTCCAGAGATGATGCAGGTTAAGCTGAGTCACACTGTCACATCCCAGCATGATCCCTCCTCACGTGTGGCCGAGTGAAAATAAAAGGCCTGGCAGGGAAATTGAGCAAGCCATCAGGGGACCTCCATATGAGAGAGCTTCTAGCAACATCCACAAAACTCACACTTCCCCTCTCAAAATCAAGAAACACACCAACTTTGCTCATTGCATTTTCTACAATGTGAGCCATCACTGGGGAAATGGTTGGGAGTTTGAAGTGTCTCGCCTCCTTCACACAAACAAGAAGAAATGAGCCCTCAGAATGCATCGGTGTGCCCTTCTTAGTGATGCCAGGATCCTTGCAGACCCCTAGAATGCAGTCGCAAGAGTCATTCACGTCCAGCTCCCAGTAGTGTTTTCCACAGGAGAAGTTCTGCATTGCCCAGGCAGCAGAATGGCCATATCTTTCCGAGTTTTGCCTTGAATCTTGATGGTCCTGTGCTGACATGAGCCTTCTCATATGGAGCATCAGCACGAACTGATTGGTGATACCATAATTGAAGGAAATTTCCACTGTTGAAAGAAGAGGAGAGTTCATTCAGTCTTAAGACATACTCCAAGTTAAGAATATACATAGAGAATTATCAATGGCGATCATTATCAAGAATTTCATTCTATCCCACTCTAACAAGGAAATGTGTTTAATAATAAAGTATAAATACATCTTCTGAGAAGTGGATTCCCTCTAAGAACATTCTGCCTGTGTACCTTGATGCAAGTGTTCACTAGTCTTCCTTCTAATAAATGACCCTCCAGGTTGAGGTCCACTGTGGCGTTCTTCATATTGCCTAAGCAGCAACAACTGAGTTTAGTATTGTTGTCCTTGGAAGGGTGTTCTATGACTATTCACTTTGTTCCTTCATATATTGTTATTATGTTCAGTCTCACATATGTTGCAAAAGTAATTGACAAGCAAGAATAAAGTCAATATTTTTCAATATGAAGTTAATGATCCAATGACAAAACTAACTGCATTTTAGACTGACACACTTTTGGTTGACTTTCCATTAGTTTGACTTTCTAACAATGAACAACATCTGTGGTCAGCTTTGACTCAATGAACCCTCTTTTGAGTTTCTCAATAAGAGAAAATGTTGTTATGGTGGCTGCTTAATGTTTAGTAGTACTGAGCTGCACTCATTGTGCCTTCTGTTAGGATCCTGAGGGCCACAACACCATAGGTAATTATAAATGCCTATTACATTTCTATTCTCCTCTCTGGATGAAGTCCTAAGAGGGGAAGATTGGTGAGAGATGATGTTAGTGAGCTGACCCTCACCTTGGAACTGCCTGAGCCAGTCTATCAGGCCGGGTATGGATGGGGCCCTGAGCTCTGGGTGCACAGGCTGGGGCATCTGTTGCTGCAATGACTCACACCTGCAAGAAAGAAGAAGATACTGTTGTTTCAGGTAGCAAAGCCTCCATCTGAACTTTTAACAAGTATAATCACTGCACTGACAGTTTGTATTCTGGTACAGTGCTGTTCATCCACACTCATGAGGTAAGATTGTGCCATTCCCAGGAGGTTATGTTTGTCTGTATTTCCAACTTCCCTCATTACTGAGCTGGAACATCTACTTAAACTAAATCTACAACACAAATTCTACTGTATTTCGACATGACTGAAATTTGAAATCTAAAGTATCAATACTTTTCTTCTGCATATATCTCTGAAACACAGGGAAATTGAGTGTTCCTTTAGATTTATTTATTTTTATCGGTAAATCAGGTACACAGAAAGGAATAGAGACAAAGAGAAAGATCTTTGGTCTGTGATTCACTTTCCCCAGTGGTCACACAGATGAGGTGAGTAGATTCAGAGCTGGGGACCAGGATCCTCCTCTGTGTCTCCCACTTGGGTTCTGGGTTCCAAGTCTCTGGGTGTCCTTGATTCTTATCAGGGCAGCAGCAGCGAAATGTATGGGAATCAGGGATGCTGGGACACAAAAGAGCATCCATATTTGGTTCCTGGCGGATTCATTCCTAACACTTTATGCACTGCACTTCCATGCTGGGCATGCATGAAAGCTATTTTTCTCAAAGCAAATTTCAGCAGCCAAACAAAGAACTTGTAGTATCTTTGCTAAGACTGTATTTTTTACTGAGTTAGTACCAGCTTGCTCTCTGATAATTCTATGATGTCCCAATTTTGTATTGAAGTTGATACATACCTTTTCATTAGGCCTCCAAAATTCTGCAATGAAACAAAGGAATGCTTAGATGTCATTCTGTAAGTTCTATTCTGCCAATCCAGTTAGTGAGTCTGACAAACTCCCAACCAGCTTCACTCCAATCACCCTGCTACATTCATCTTCCTTTTGTTCTAGAAATAACCACCTCTCCCCCAATATGCCCACACAACCAAACAGTAATGTATTTAGAACATGCAGTGAGGAGAAAGACTTGGGTAGTGAGTGCCTTGCTGAGAACCCCTAGCTGTTGCAATTGTCTTCCCACTTTGTCCCCAAATGGTAACACCCCTCAGGCTAAGAGAGACTGGAATGTAGAACATTCTATAAGAAAGGAGAATGCTGGTCCTTTGCAGATGTCTCATGTTTCCAATGAAGGAAATACAGACCCTCTGTGGTAAGCAATGCCTCATTCTCTTTCTTGAGAATCAGTCATAAAAGTCCAATTGCAGAAAGAAGTGTTGTTTTATGGCTTAGAACGGTTTTTGAAGTGCTAGTGTAAGAATATGGGGGAAGATCAGTGGAGGTAGGGAAGTTTGGCAGAGTGAAGGGAAATCCCACAGCCTTTGGAAATGTATCATGGAAAAAGAATTTTTTTTAAAGAAAGGCAAATTTTAGAAGCAAATGTTCTTTGTAGAATCCAGTGTCACAATCTCATAATACAGGCTTGTTCCAAATAGACTGGAATGAATAGATCTTGTTGAGTAATGTTTGAATCATAATCTAATCCATGCTAATAAATGTGATATGTATTCTGAAATACACATTATTGATCACTTACTGTATGAATTTTTACATATAATAATGAATAATATGATCAAAGGTAAGGCACAGCACACTTCATTTCTTACCCGGAGGAGCACCATGTCTGGTTGATGGTACATTTTCATCAACTCTTTATATATTTGTCTTAGTTGTCTTTTCTTTTGAACCATTTTAGCTTTGCTTTTCTTAAGTTTTTGGAAAATGCTGTTCTGTTGCTTTCGAAGTGTGTTCATGTGTTTTTTTTCATCCTGATGTGGACCTGGATGCAGCATCTCATAAGACGCCTTGATATTCTCTCTCTGCCGAGACACATGGCACTGTGGGGACACAGATTTCCTAGGTCACATATCCAGGCCAACTTCATCCCTTTCCCCTTCAGCCTCTCCCATTTACTCGGAGTTACACCTTCTGTCAACAAGACATGAACATAGCCTGCTATAGTGAGATTCCCATCGGCCAGATATTTTTCTCCTTGTTTTTGTTCATTCTCTACTCATTATGAATTGGACAATGAGCCCATCCCATTCTTGCTCAAACCATTTTCATCCACCTGCAGTTCTTGAAAGACCTTGAGAGAACATTTCTGTGCTAATGTCTTTTGAAAGAGGTTCTCTCAAGCCCAAAATTCTTCATGTGAATTTTTTGGATTTAGAATTTGTCCATGAATACTCATAGGCAAACTTCAGATGCTTGGACAAGTTAAAATTACCATGTGAAACTTTCTGAGTCAGGCTGCACCTTTCTCTCTAAACATCAGGCTACGCTTAGCCTCAGCACGGAGGTAAGCAGTTATCAGAAAATCTTCCCTGTGAACCCGAGTGTTGTGGCTCTGTTGATGAACGTCCACTGTCTATCAGGTCTGTCTCGGGCTGCTGAGAAGGAAACACGGTCTCCTACTCACCGTCCACTCAGAGAGTATTGTGCTCTCCTCATTCAGGTTCCTCTGGTTTTCTTGCATCTGTCTGCATAATGATCTCATTTGCTTCACCAGCGTCTCCTGTAAAAGACCTGAATTTGTGTAACAGGGAACCTGAGAGGTTTAGATATGGGACCCAGAAATGATGGAGACAACTAAGACTTTTGAGATAAAAGTATATCCTTACATGTAGAAGGAACCTATTTTCCTAAGTGTAATTAAAATTATGCATTTTGAATGTTTTATACTTTTGATGCCAAAATATAATGTAATAACAGGGAAGTTAATTTAAATAACAAGCATTTTGATAAGTAATGTATGTGCCACCTTGCCACAAAATTTGGATCTGCTGATGTTCTTTCCTCATCCCTTCCAACAGATTTGATTCTGTTAATTTGCAGGTTTAATAAACATTATTGTATAGCATCTTTAGGACCTAGCCTTAGTAGTAAGATATATTTTCTGATCTTGAATTCTTTCTACTAATTTGTCCTTCAGTATTATGTTGAAAGCCAATTTTAATGAGCATTAAGTTAATCATCCTTGCAGTAATTCAATTGTCTGGATTATTCTTATGAATGATAGGATAAAAGTGCTCATATGCATTGCTATAAACGCCAGGTGCCCATGAACAGACAGGGCTACCTTTCACAGGAGCTTAAAATCAGGGATTGAATTCTTTTTTCACATGGGTAGAAGGAATCCAGCCCCTTCAACTATGATTGCTGCTTCATGTTAGCCTAATGCTGCAATTAAGAGAATGAATGAGGAATTGGACACAGGTGCTCTGCATGTTATGTAATGATATTAACATGCAATTACATAAGCTCAAATGTTGATTTTAATTTCCTTGGTGTTACCTGGAACAGTTCCTGACATTCAGTGTAGAATTCAACATTGTCATCTGATGCTCTTTATCACTCCCTATTGTCTTCCACTACTCAGTGGTCTCAGTGTCACTTACCCGGCTGTCCTCTGCTGCCACATCAATGGCATGGTGTCTGTGACCAGCATGCTCCTGAGGGTCAGAGCAGAGCACACAGAGCAGGCTCTTGTCTTCTTCACAGAATATTTTCCTGGTCTCTTTGTGGGTACCACACATGTCCTCCTCAGAGTTCTGGGAGTGCTGGATGCTGGCTTGTCTGGCAATGGAAACCAGATTCTTCAAATGAACATTGGTTGTGAAGTCTTCCTTTTGTGTTGACTCTCTGCACACTGGGCATTGGACAGGCGATTTGGCTTCTTCCCATGCCAGGCAGACACAGGGCCTGCAAAAGCTATGTCCACAGTTTATGGTGACTGGGTCCATCATGTAGTTGAGGCAGAAGGCACAAGAGAGTTCTTTCTGGACCAGGTGTAGGATGTCCAAGTCCATTTTCCTAAAGGAAAAGAATTCAGAGTTGATTTTTATACTCTGCCACACAAACACCAAAACAAAGCTACATTCACTGTTCACCTCAGTCAGCAGCTTGTGCCTGCTCAAGGCTTTGACTGTTGCTGTTATTTAAAACAGCTAAATTTCTAGTTTTTATGTTCGTTTTTACGTTATTTATACGCAGCTAATTCCCACACCCTAGTTGTTTTACCATGAGTCGAAAATCCCAGATGCAACGAGGCTCTCTGGAAGTTTATCTCAGCAGGGCAGGAGCAGGACTGAGGTGGTGGCAAGAGGCGTGAGGAAAAGGGAAGATGGAGGCATCAGGGCCTCCTTATGTTGAGGTGAGCTCGCAAGACATGGGGTGGGGTTGCAAGATTGGCAGGGATTGAGGGCAGGCCCAAGGGATTGGTGCCTGCAGGTGAATGCCTAAGGATGATTGGTATGTAGACTGGGTTTTAGAAGGTGCTGGGAGTTGGGGTGGAATTTTCAGGTGAAATGCCGGATTATCTGATTGGTGAACAGGTGGAGCAGCATGAATGTCATGAGCTGTGAGAAAGAAGAAATGGCACCAGGTCCAGTGTGGCAGGGTCTGAGTGTCCGTGACAACCCTCAAATCATTCCTCACATTCTACCCTTTTGCTATATATGAAGGAAAAAGTGAGCTGTTTTCTTCCATGGCTTCTTCAAGCTGAGTTTGGGCACAGCATTCTCTAATCAGTGGTCTCCTGGAGGTTGGGTGAGGAATGGGAGACTGAGAGAGGTTCTTAACCCTTACAAGAATCTGGTTAGCAGTCTAGTCAACAATTTTTTCCCTTTAAGTGATGATAAATCATTAAGAAAATTGATGAGGCAGGAGGCAACGGTGAGTGTCCTGCAATGAGTATTATCAGAGGGGTGAGAAGAGGGGCAAGCATAGACATCAGAGGAGACTGAGTCCAGGAAAACCAGGAGTTACTATTAGTTCTAGACTGTTGGAGGTGATCCCTGATGTCTAACAGGTGTTTAACATTCTTCTTGACTACCCCTGATTTGTGAACGTAAAAACAACACTCCTCATGGAGGAACATGCAGGTGCATCACTTTTCTGCTGTAAGAAGGTCCAAGGCCCTTCTGTTCTGGAGAGTTACATGAGCCAAGGAGGTAAGTTAGCCCTGGAGAGAGGCTAGGGAAAGAGTGGTGTCATCTAGGACTGATTTGAGCTCCTCTGATAGCTGCTGGATTGAAGTGATTGCATATCCCAGACTCCCTGCTGCTAGTCCAACAGCAGACTGGGAAGTAACCATGGATGCTCCCATAAGTACTGGGACAAAAATTGCGTGTTTTGAACGCTCTGATGAAGAAAGCATCCATAAGAGTTCTTCCTCGCTAAGTAAAGGCAGTTGGGCATAATTACTACTGAGAGGCAGGGGTCAGGGGAGGTGGAATTGATAGTGTTACATACAGAGCTGTTACACCACATGAATCAGCCTTTAGGGGAAGAAGTAGACTTGGATGTCTGACTCTGGTAGAGCAGGAGAGGGGTTTATGATAAGTCCTGGATGTGTTGTAGCAAGACGGGTTATGGGCTAGTGGGTCCCACAGGGGAACAGCACCTAATGGAGTTACTGATTGGGAAGGTGTTGGGGGATTGACTGCTGCCTAGGTTGATAATGAGTACTGCAGCCACAATGGGTCACTGCAGTGAAGCACAGAGGAAGCACTCAGTGAAGTTGGGCAAAAGAGATGTGGAGTTGAGTATACCTAAAGTCACAGTTAAAATTTTATACCAGGAGACCGGGGTATCTGATTTGGCATCTGACTCAAGGGAATTGGAAAGGGAAGTCTCAGAATTAAGGATGTGGGCAATGACTGCAGTAACTTTATTTGGATTGGGGTCTAGCTACATATATATATATATATGTATGTATATATATATATGTATATATATATATATATGTAAAGGCAGCCCTTTTGAGGGGTAATCCATCTGCTGTTCCATTGGGTCTCTTATTTTTATGTACGCACCCATGGAGTTATGACTAAAAATGTAACCAGTCTCATGGGGATAATGGATTATACATCACCAATAGGAACATCCTCCATAAAAGTCTCCCTAGGAGGGAGTCTGCCTTGCAATAGTCATGTGTCTGTCTGGTCATACAGCAGGCACACGTATGGGTTGGAAGTGGCCCAAAGCTCGAAAGATCGAGGCTTAATGGGTATGAGGAAAGGAGTGCAGCACCCTATTGGGGGACAATATGGGTCCCAATAGTTTGGGTGTCATCCTGGTAAATTTCTCTTACATCAAGCTGTCATACTAAGGCAGGAGGGGTTGGGTTGGAGTTTGGCTAAGGCTAGCTATGGGGAGAGTGACAAGCAGCCAGTAGCAGAGAAGCATCCTATAGAGGTGCTGGGGGAAGAAGAATGACAGAGCAAAGACTACCTGAGAAGTGAAGTAATGTGGAGTAAAGTGGAGTAATGAGGAGTAAAGCAGAGTAATGTGGAGTAATGAGGCAGATCGGTGGGATAATCTATAATGAGGAACACAAGTGTAAATTGAGGAGATGGATAGGTCAGTTTGGGTGGTGGAGATTCTCCTACAGGAGGATTTGGAGAAACCTATGAAACATAGGAATGGTCAAACACATGGGAGGGTATTTACTTATGGGAAGTCCTCCTAAGAAGCAGTTTCAGTCCCTCCAGAGGCTCACAGGAATATGTGGCCTCTGAGGATTGGTCTTGATGGGAAGCTTCAATCTCCAGGGGTGTCTCTGTGATAGCAGGGGGATTGATGTACATATCTGGAGGTAGGGTAGAAAGTTTTAAAGAGCAGTTATGAATCCAATAAAGAAAGCCTTCAACTTTGGCGGCTGTGGGAGTGGTAAGTATGACCTTAACAGGGCCCTGCCATTTGGGCGTAAGGAATGAAGGGGTATGGAGGGGGAATGGTGGAGAACTAGGTCTCCAGGCTATAGGGAGGAGCTGAGGGGTTGAGGTGAGGGAAGAAGCTTGTTTGAATATGACCAAAGAAGGTGTCATAGATAGATTAAAAGGTTGGGGGGGGGGGAGTAAGACAAAAGAAAGCTTTGCTGGATATGTTATCCTAGGCTGTATATGGGATGGGTGGGGCATTAGTTCTTCTAAAGTTTCTATGCAAGAGTGGGAAGATTGGGTACTGACCTGAGTGGGCAGGGGAAGTAAGGTAGAGGGGTTAAGGGGAGTACAGCTCTGAAAGGTTAGCATGGGGTCCTCTACCAGTGAGACCTGGAGGCTTAAGATACATGATGTGGGGAGAGTTTCGAGGCTCTTATAGGTAGGTAACTCACAAAAATGGTGGGGGTTAGGATAGTTATTGGGGAGCCAAAACGAGTGTTTTGAATTCCTGTACAAGGAGTGCTGTAGCTGCCAGGGCCCAAAGGCAAGGGGTCCATCCTAGGACTGTGGGGTCTAATTTCTTAGACAGGTAAGTTACTGGGCAAAGGATGGTCCAAGCTGGTGCCCTAAGGTTCCTAAAGCAAAGCCTGACCTCTCAGTGACATAGAGTAGGAAGGGCCTACTAAAGTCAGGTAGATGGAGTGCCAGTGACTGAAGGACAACTTGCTAGAGTTTCAGAAAAGGGACCTCTGCGGAGGTTAGGAGGGGCTAAGAGACAGAGCCATGCCAGCATCGTACAGAGGATGAGCTAGCAGGGAATAATTGGGAATCCATGAGTGAAGGAAGCCCATCATCCCCAAGAAGGAAAGGATCTGCTCTTTTGTGGTGGGTTGGGGGAAAGATGAAGTTAGGTGTTTCCAATGTAGCATTATCTGACTTTGGGTGGAGGAGAGAAGTCCCAAGTAAGTTACCTGGGGGAGGACAGTTGAACTTTAGAGGATGAGACCCTGTAGCCCCAGTGGGCAGGGCAGTTTAATCACAGTCACTTACATATTGAAGATTTGGATGTTGTAAAAGCGGAATATTGAGTGAGGAGAGGCAGAGAGAATAATCTTCTATCTGCTGCTCTCCCCAGAAATGGTAACAACTGTTACAGATGATGTGATCCAAAGCTAGGATGCAGCACCTTCCTCAATTTTTCCAGGTGGTTATAGTGTCCCCAAATTTGGATTATGCTCCATTGCTTCCCCATGCCACAAGCAGTGAGCTAGATGGGTAATGGAGCAGCCTCACCACAATCCTGTGTCTATGAGGGATACTAACACTTGAGAAAGGAGCATCAACCAGTTGAGCCATAGTAGCAGCACGTGATACAAATACATATAGTTTCAAAGGCAAGATTATATAGAGAGGGATAGATATAAAAATCTTCTGTCTGCTGATTCGCGCTGCAGTTGGCTGTAACAACTAGGACTGACTCATCTGGAAATCACAAGTCAGGAACTTCCTCTGGCCTTCCATGTGGCTCCCGGAGCTTAGCATCAGACCATCATCCTCCGTTTTCTCAGACACATTGCATGGAGCTACATCAGAAGTGGCATCACTGGTACACCAATATAGGATGCTGCTGTCATAGCAACAGCTTTACCTGCTGTTTCACAAGGCTGACCCTACATTTCTAAAACTATAATCATCATTTAGCGATCACAATAAAGATGTGTTTGCCTAGGGTGCAGTGAGATAGCCTAGTGTCTAAATCCAAGCCATGCATCCACCAGGCTACCATAGGCGTTCCGGTTCAAATCCTGGCTGCTCCACTTCCCTTCCAGCTCCATGACTGTTGCCTGGAAAATCAATTGAAGGTGTCCCAAAGCCTTGGATACCTGTACTCATCTGGGAGACCTGAAAAAGCTCCTGGCTCCTGCCTTTGGATGCCCTCAGCTCTGGCTATTGCATTCGCTTGGGGAGTGAAATAGTGAATGGAAGATCCTTTTCCATATATCTCCTTCTCTACATCTTGATCTGAAAAATGAGTTTTTAGGTCAATATAGAATGATGAATATTATGCGTTATCTCTTGTTCCAGGATGCCACAGGTGTGTTGAGTATATGAATGAACACGGTTAACATGAGTTGCATTAGACT